AGGAATGTTTTGCCTCCTCAGGTAGCCTTTAATTTCAGGGTTAAGTAAGGTGGTGGAGAGACTGGGATGGCTCTTGCCTCAACCTGAGGAAGGGTCCTCCCTTTGCAACCTTCCCCAACCTCCTCCTTTCATCTCTCTGCTCTTCCCGAAACTACCCATGGAACAAAGACCTGAAACAACCTGCAAAGGTTGGTAACAAGGAGAAGGTATGCCTTGATGCTTCACTATGAGATAATTTCTGTGTTTCAGTCTTTATTTTCATGCCTTGCACAAGGCATGAAATTGCCTCTATCTGTATTTTACAGATGAGGCAAGGAGGCCCTCAGACATCCCTGTGATTTAGAAGAGGTAATGCAAGTTCTGCATGAGATCTGAGGACTAGAATAAGATCTCAAACTGAGCTTTCTTTTTGACCTTCTCACACTCATTCCCTCTCCTTCTGTTGATGTTTCTTTCAGAAAAATTAGTAAGAGCCCTCCCAGCACATGACATGCCCCCAGACCAAAGGACCCGCTCTTTGCTATCTGAATTCTTGCTTCTCCCAGGACTGGGGACTTCAGGGGCACCTCACACTGGGAGAGGGGCTGAGGCTTCTCAGAAGTCACCATGGCTGCCACCACTGCTAGCAGCCTGTGCTTGGTAAGGAGGGACTCCCATCCTCAGTGCCCTGAGGCCATAACATACCTCTCCTGAGTGATAGCTTCTAGTCTCGTGTCAGGTTGTATGAAGCCATTGGCCCTTCGCCTGTTGATGAAGGGATCTGAGAAGGCAGAGGGTTATTCAGAATAGCGAGACGCTTTTTCTTTTTCAGCCAAAGGATCTCCCCTACCTACATATCCCACCTGCTTGTTCCAAGATGCTTAGAGTAAGGTCCTCCCTGTTCTTGGGGAAGAGTAAATTGTGCAACTGGCTTCTGCAGGAGCTCTTTCTGTGCTCATACCAGACCTTTTTTGAGCCATGTCCTTTTCTAGTGTCAGTTAACCCGGTTTTGGTACATGTAAAAGAGACCTAAGCTCTGTTTTCCAAATCTCATTATATTCTATGCAAAAATGGCAGTATGCACTTGTGTCAAAACTTTTGAAGTATTTTTTTAATTCTCTCCATTTTTATCCTGAAACTCCATCACCCAGTAAATTCAATTTCCCTGGGCTAGGTGGTTCTCCCTGTTTAATCCCTACAGTAAAGTACAAGGAAATTATCTTGGAGATGTCTGTAGTACACCTCAAATTCAAGAAAATAGTAAAGTAGTCTCTTACGGAGATACTCATGGGACTCCATGCTCTCACGGGACTCTGGGGAAAGAAAGAGTAAAAAACATGGTAAGACACTGTATTGATGGGATTCACAGTCTTACACACACCATGGATCAATTGAACACACATACAAATCAGAGAAACCAGGCTTTTAGGCATCTGCTTAAAAGAAGAGAAAGGGATCAGTGATGTGACCTAGAATTTATATGAGGAGTTTAGACTGTTCAGGAGTTTCATATGGAGCCACCTGGTGTTTTAGGCAGGATTTCCAGACTCGTGTTAGGTCATCCAGTCTGTGATTCTCAAGAATAGTTCCTCACCTTCTGTTCCTGGCACTACAGTGGATAAGATACCTGCTTACCTACAAAGCTAGCATGTGTTCTTAGGAAATGCATTAGCACAATGAAATGCACTTGACCCTTGCATGAAACAGCATCCTAATTCCTGTGCGTCTCACAGGGAAAAGGGGCTGATATTATAAAAGAAAAAAGGGAAATCTTCCTATTAACAAGGAATAATTAAGAATACATAGTCTTATTGTAGTCCAGACAGCAGAGGGGCAGAAAGAAAAGCAGTCTGCAAGGTGAGCTTGAACAGAGAGGAAGGGGCTGAAGCATCCTGGACCACAAATCCCAAAGACTGGTGCTGACAGCTCAGGATCAGGGCTAGAAGGATCTGACACAAGGGCAGGAAAGCACGCAAGAGATCAAGTTAAGAGGAAAGAAGACACAAAGTTGAATAACAAACCCAAAGATGTCTGCAGGTTTGGAGTTACCATTCTACCCAGTAATAAAGGTCACCTACCATAGCAAGTGGCAGCCATCACCAAGACAGCCAGGAGCATAAGGATGATGAGAGTGCGCATTGTGCCAGTGCAGGGAGGAATCTCTCACTCTGTATTTCTTGCTGTTTTGCTCTCTTCCCACTGAGGTCAGCTGGAGATCCTGGGCTGACTGCAAAATTAGCAATGGAATGTTTATAATGAAAACAGAGCCAGAAGGGGCCCATGAAAGAGCCTGGGCAAAGGCAACGGCTGGCTAGTACACACTATGGAGCCATTACAAAACACCCTCTATTAGCAGATTGAATCAGGTTTTGGAAAGGAAGGGACATGCCCCTTTCCTCTCCCACTTCAGAGCTGGGGGTCATAATCCAGAGACAAACATGTCACTAGCACTCCACACTCAGAAAAGCTGGCCTGTGCAAGTGGAAGAAATTTCAGAGACTGCCAGAGGCCCAAAGGCAGAGGTGTGTGTTGATCCCCAGCATAAATATTTGTCTTTCTAAATTTTCCTCTGATCTGCCCTCTTTGCCCTCACCATATTCTGTCTAGATACACCCAGCCCAAGCTGTTCGGTCAGCTTTGCCAACAGAGACATGGAGAATGAAGCTTCAAACACTCCTGCCCGACTCAGCTGGCCCCAGCTGCAATGCCAGCCAGCCAGTCCTCAGAGAAGGAATATAATCCTACTGCCCCTTCCCATCTCCTACTTTATTGCTCCAGGAGTGACAAGCAGAAACCCAGAAAAACCCTTTCTACTGGAGTGACTATGAGTTTTGCATTGAGATGACAGGAGCCGCACCCAGAACTCCATCTCTGCAGGTCCTCAGTGTGGTACTGACCTTACACTCCTCTTCTAGCCCAAGGGACTGGGTGGACTCTTGGTGGAGGCAGAGGAGATCAGTTTTTTCCTGTGAGGGTGGTGAGACACTGGCACAGGTTGCCCAGTGAGGTAGTGGATATCCCAACCCTGGCAGGGTTCAAAGCCAGGTTGGATAAAGCCTTCAGCAACCTGGTCTAGTGGAAGTTGTCCCTGCCCATGGCAGGAGGGGTTGAGACTAGGTGATCTATAAGGTCCATTCCAACACCTCAACAATCTATGAATCTATTAATCATATCTCTTAAGACTGATGCCTCACTGGTCTAGCACTAACAGTCCAGAAAAAGCTCTAAGTCTGCTATAGACACAAGGTCAGAGGTGAACTGATACATTTCTGCTGCCCCTCCATGTCCTGCCACTCCAGTCTCTTTAAGGAAATTCTCTGCTCTGGGATTGTTTTCATTACTTAGAGCCTGTGGTTTTGGATGTGCTGAATGTGGATTTCAGAGGTTGCCCAAATGTCTTGTACAGGAGTTGCTGAAAAAGGGAGACTTGAGGGAGAGGCTGGAGGAGAGACCCCAGCAGGCAAAGAGTGGGGCACAGAGAGGAAGATGCTAGGAGTACTTTGGAATGAAGCTGAGGCTGCACAGTAGGAAACTCCAACATGGTTTCCAGCCAAACCCTCTTTGTTTGTCTACACTCTGGGCAGAGCTCTCTGATCACTGGAAGACTCTGCTCCTATTTCAGAGGACTCTGATCCCAGAATGCCTGGAGCATAGCCTGCCATCAACCACAGGAGAAGAGCCACAATGGCCACTTTAACCCAAATGTTTCATTTTTCACCACAGAGGCAATACCTTTTCAAGGGATGAATGAACATGCCAGCTACACAGCCCTATACCAACAAATCTCCTTCGGGGAATGCTTTCTCTTGCAAAAGTACATCTCCTTTCTACTTCCCCTGCACTCCATAATTCCCCAGCACACATCTCCCCTCCTCAATAAGAGTGGGCTGCCCTAGAGGTAACATACCATACAACACAGTGAGCCCCATTCCTCTGCTTTCTAGTAGCATGCACTGGCTGCAAACGCAGAAAGGAGGTAAGCCAAATTGCCAGCATATGCCAGGGAAATCTAAGCAGTCCCACAAATAAAAGGGGGATCAGAAAAGCAGCCCTGATCTGTCTGCTGCTGGAGTGGAGAATTACAATGTTATACATGCTGCAGCAACCACTCCTAACGTTTTGCAGCTGTGAAGCACCACCAAGGCATTCATAACAAGCAGCCGTCCAGGAAAAGCAAGGCAGTCCCTGCATACTCACTAAGCTGTCGCTTCCCCGCCAGCCTGTGACTCTTGTCTGAGGGGGCAGCTCTCCTGGCGTCCCGGACCCTGGACTGAAGAAGAGGGATCTTTTATTTATTAGCATTGATCAGTGACTCCTCCCCTCTCCTACTCTTGGTCCACCCCCAGGTTACCACCTTCTCCATCAGAAACACCTTCTGCCCACAGCCAGGAAACCACAACCTCAAAGAGCAGAGCCAAGGGGGAGAGACCCAGAGCAGACATCAGGGACTAGTGGGGGGCACAGCCTCATCCAGGTTGCCTTTCTGTGCCCAAGAGCAAAGAGCGGACAAAGATCTGAGACCAAGCTCCAGTCTCCCACTTTGCTGGAAGACCCCTGGTCTTCTACCCTCTCCTTCCCTGGCGGTGTTCTAACTCAAGTCATGTTGCTGGTCAGGGTATCTGTTCTTCCAAAGGGTACAGGAGTCAAGAAGCCTTCTCCCATCTCCTTTCATGCTGCTTTTGCAACTGTCTGATCCCCCCTCTTAATGGCAGACTAATGTCAGACTGAAAACTGACATAACAAAGGTGTCTGCCTTTGGAGGCAGCTCTGAAACCTTCAAAAGTGACAAACCCTATGAGAAAAAGAGCTGGCTTACACAAACCCAAGCCCCTGAGATGCACCCTCTCTGTTCATACCAGACCCACAATAGTGCTGGACCACATGTCAGTGAACCCAGAACATGTGTTTGCTGGACTGGGCTACTGGGCTTCTAGCTCTGTCTGCACCACCTAGCACATAGTACACGTAGAGTGTACATGCACTACCCTGGGATGCTGAAATCATGCAAATAGCAACCCACAGCAGTGCTCCCTCCTTCTCTCCCTCCCTCAGCAGAGATCCATGCCTGGTGCATGCTCAGCATGGGTGGTGGCAGGTCCAGTTCTTAAGTAAGGGTAGGCATAGCCTCAGGGACTGAGCTCAGCAGAGATGAGATCATAGAATCATAGCATGGTTTGCATTGAAAGGGACCTTACAGATCACCTAGTTCCAACCCACCTGTCATGGGCAGGGACACCTTCCACTGGGCCAGGTTGCTCAAAGCCCCACCAAGCCAGGGCAAGGTCCTGGTCTCTGAGCATCCACGACTTCTCCAGGCAGTCTGTTTCAGTGTGTCTCCACCCTGACACTACAGTTTCATCGTAATATCTACTGGAGGGGATGACCAGCTGCAGAAGTAGTGGCTTGGAAAGTTAAGAAAGAAAACCCATCACATTATTCATTAATTAAACAGCTGCTGAGTGTGGCTTGTCTGGTCCAGAAAAAGATCAAGTGTGGCCTGATGTGCAGCCTTGATTGCAAAATCAAAATGGTGTCATATCCATGGAGTTAAAGAACCACCAAGTGATTGAACAGAGAACAGTGAGGGGCTTTTGTCCAAGGGTCATATCTTTAGCTCCAACAGTGTTCTATGAGTTTGAGGTAAGTTCAGATTTATCTGTGGCAAGGTATTGTTACTTGTGTCCTTGTACAAGCATCTGTTGGTCCTCAACATCTAAGAAGAGAAACCTTGAGCTGTCCTCAAGATATATATAGGGCACATAGTCATGAACTACCTTTGAAATGTAGTGCAAACAGGAGGACATTTCTTGTCCTAGTCTACTGCACTTCAGGGTTATCTGAGTATCCAGCCCTGTGACATGCTGAAGCCTGAAAGAAATCAGGACCAGGAAGATCTGGTCACCTTCATATATCTAGATACTGGAATGCCTTTGGCCCCAGTGCCATCTTACAAACCCTTAGTTAAGTTGGAGAAAATGGGCATTACAGTCAAGACTGTGAGATGGAAAGGAACCAGACAAATGGGGCAGAAGCCTAAAGAATGGAAAGATGTAGAGAAATTATTAATTGAATTTCTCTTGGGACTAGTTTTATTGAATACTTCCTTTAACAACTGGCTTTAAAAAGGATACTTTGTTGAGGAAGTTGATAACACAAAGCAAGAAAGCAACAGCAGTGAAAAGCAAGCCTGAGAACTCATACAAAGGATGAAAAGGATGATCTTGAAAAGTACAGTAACAGAAACAGGGTACTATGCAAGAGTACAAAGGCAAGGTCTTCCACTGGGATTAGCAGCAAAAATCCCACTGTAAGTTAAAAGCTCATAAACTGAAAGTAAACAGGGAACAACAGGAACAACTATGAACCAACAATCATAAAGGTGATGATAGAATACTGATTCTGAGATGTCTACTAAGCATGTGACAGCAGAAATGGGCACTGCTAGTGCCACTAGATGAGATACCAGGGAGACCTCAGCAGGATTCCTCTGTATGGCCCAGGACATCCTTGTTCATGGAAGAATAATTCCAGTGGGAAGTGCTGGAGATGAGGACTAACAAGGCAAGGTGACTTTCACTCACACAAAAAATGACAGACTTTTTCACCATAGCCTGTGGGTGTCACCAAACCTCTCCATTCTTGTATTGCCCATAAGGCATTTCCAGCAGGGACAATGGACTAGCAATTAGGTTTAGTTTCCAGTACCTCTCCAGGGGCTGTTTCAGAATCCACAGCTCTCATGACCAGGAGAAGACCCATTTCCAGCCTCTGTGTCTTTAGGGCCATGATCTGTATTCATGTCTCCCTCACCAAGTGCCCAGCTCATGCTAGGCAGGCTTCAGCAGAGTTGCTGAGCACTGCAGTGAGGGAATAAACCCTATCAGCTCTACAACAGATCAAGGTTTCCAAACCCAGGTTGCCCAGAGTATCAAGTAACTAGACTCATGGATCTGGACAGTCCTTTTCAAACTTGCTTCTGTGTTTCAGGAGGTAAGTCAGTCAACCACCACATGGTCTATGGTTTAGGAAGAGATTTCTCAACATGATAAACAAGTGCTTTTTAGAACAACTAGTTCTACAGCACATGAGAAAACAAGGCTTTATTTTTATTTTTTCATTTAGTCCTAAGTAATACCCAGGAACTGATCCAAGAAGCAAGTATAATTGAGCCACTAAGTAAGAGTGTCCGAGTATCCACAATATAATTAAAGTCAACAACCTCATGGAATAAATTGTGCTGAAAACTAGCATACTGACACTAAGCTTTAGAAAGGGAGATGTTTTTAAACACAGGAGCTAGTCAAAAGACTATGAAGTAAAAATAAACAGAACACATTTCAGACATTTAAAGAACTTGATATACATATCTGAACGTGTGTTAGCTCTGGCAGCAAACTCACTCAGCTACCCTAAATTAACCCTAAAACTATCTCAAATGCTAGTTCAACCTGGGAAAAACACATTTCAAAACTAGATTAAAAAATTTCCAAAAACTAAAAGAAAGGGGGAGCACATAAGCAGGAGAAATCTAGTTTCACAGCAATTGAATGAGTTTTTTTAAAATAACTGAGATGATTAATTTCCATTTCCATGGTGGGATGGGGACAAAAGAGTAATTTCATAACAAGTGAGTGGTGGGTGTTTTCCTCAAAAATATTTAAATACGTATCTTTAAAATCTGTCTCAACCTTTCCCCTGAGAAGAATTTTGCCCCCAGCATTACAACTTTCTGAAAAAATAAAAGTTTCTAGTGTGGAAATATGCATTGGTTCTAACAAAGTGAATCCATGTGTAGTCTTAGCAGTGTTGTAAAAACCACTATCTGAAGCTTACAGATAGTGTCAGTCTCCTGTGGGTAAGGAAAGTTCCCATGTCAGCTCACAGCTATTTTCTTTCATGCTTCTTCCAATATTTTGGGCCAGGGTGCACTTTAGAAGCTCCTCTTTCTGTCTTACATAATGACTTCCAGTGACTTTCTCCTGCCCATGGATGTGGAGTACACCTGCATGTCACACTGGCTCTGGAACAACTGATTACTCGGTATCCCAGTGCCAAGAAGCAGAACTTAAACTAAATACCATAAAAAGGCCCAGATTCTTACTCCCTGAACAAAGCCAGAGGAGAGGGTGAGAGGACAATTCTTTCAGCTGCAGTGACCTACAGAATTTGGGCCTGTCTCCCCATTAACCATGAGCATAAAGAGAGGTTTCCATTTGGTGAGCTGTCAGATTTGGCTGGTTGGTTGCTTCCTGGGTAAACTGGGGAGATTGTTAGCCACTGCATTATGTTGTTGGCAAATGTTTACTTTAACAAAATTCAGAGATTAGTGACCAGACACAACCTCACAGCATGGTCTATGCAGTTGTGATCCTCAAAGTTACTCCTTGTAATCCATCAGACTTCAAAATGAAGCCCAGTGTCCTAGAAAAATCGCGGTCTGGATATGAACACAGGAGTATCTGGGGTCAGCAGTACAGCCTACTGGGAACTCATTGCTCTCCATTTCTGCTTGCTGTGAAAAGTGAGCTTGGCTCAAGCCTTCAACTCCAATACTCAGCATGTTCCATGGGATATCACTGTATTACCTTAAGGACTGACTATCTCTGTTTGGCCAGGACTTCCCAGGACAGCTGTATTTGGCTGAACAATGAAAAAATATTACTAGTAATAGGAAGTTCATGAGCCCAGAAGACTAACATTTCACAGAAGTCAGACCAAGGTTATTCAGTTCACTGGATAAAGCAACTAAAACATTCAGGGCTAAGAGCTAACTCTGTTGCTTCCTTTGGCTTCACCCCCACCCACCCACACATGTCCACATACACTGATCAGCCTATTTCTCTTTCAGTCTGAGAAGGAAGGAAGAGAGAGGATAATGTTAATATTATTTGGATGTTGAAAAAAATGGCAGAGGCTCTTGTGTAGGGATTAAATAACCCATATGAGTAACTAAAATTGCCTGTACTTCAAGTATCCTTTGAAAAACTGAGCAGGCAAAAAGTCTGAACTTTGTCTTTAAAAACAGAGCATACTTCTGATTTGTACTCTTACAGGAAGGAGGAGCAGAAATCTCTTCTCCTTTTCCACCCTCATCCCCCTTGCTTGACCACATGAACACAAAAATGTCCTGACCTGATTCATTCTTTGGGATCCCATGAGTTTACCCGCCTTATTTCCTGTCCAGACATGCAGAGAGATAAGAAAACAGCTGTGGTTTCACTCTTCTCATCCATCTGGTAAATAAAAAAATAACAATAATGCCTC